CACACACACACACACACACACACACACACACACACACACACAAGCATTAGCTACCTACACAGCACATGTACACACGCACGCATGCACGCAGACACTCACACACAGACAGCTGCCTGGCTGCACCCCAGCAGCACCCCAGCAGCCAACCCCACCCCACCCCACCCCATTGACCCCACGTACACACTTAGCTACCTACACAGCACAGACGCACGCACATGCGCACACGCGTATGCACGAGCACACACGCACGTACACGCACCGACCCCACGAACGCCCACGCATGCACACACACGCACGCACGCGCGCAAGCACGCAGGAATGTACAAACGCATGCACAGACTGAGAGAGAGAGAGAGAGAGAAAGACGGAGAAAACGACAGAAAGAGTGAGAAAAAGAGAGAGCGAGAAAGAAAGAGAGAGAGAGGTAGAGAGGGAGAAAGAGAAAAAAGAGAAAGGGAGAAAATGTGTGCGCGCGCGNGCGTGCGTGCGTTCGTGCGCGCGCGTGTGTGTGTGTGTGTGTGTGTGAGAGAGAGAGAGAGAGATAGAGACCGCAGCATTCCAGAGCTCCCACCACCGCGCGGGGATTAGCATACTGCTGCTGCTGCTACTACTACTACTACTGCTACTGCTGCTGCTCTCTCATGCCCCGGGGCCTCCTACATGGCTAGATTACACCACCGAGGGCTTCATAGCTTCACATCGCATCTCTGACCCGCACGTACGCACGCGCACGCACGCACACGCACGCACGCACACGCACGCACGCAGCACCCCGGCTGTTGGCTGGTTACGTGGTCGCAGCGGTTTAACGGCCTCGTAATATCGGTATTTTTAACTTTTACGAGGGAATTTTGCCCCGATTGCTTTTGTTATTGCGCCGCGCCTTCTCCCCCTCTCCCTCTCTCTCCTCTCTCTCCTCTCTCTCTCCTTCCTGAATGTTTACGCTTGCGGTTACCTTCTTCTTTCACCGCGCCCGCTGTTACCGCCGCTCTCTCGTTGCCTTCTGTTGGCCGAACCTCCCCCTTGTCCGACCATGTAGCCTCCCCCTTGTCCGACCATGTAGCCTCCCCCTTGTCCGACCATGTAGCCTCCCCCTTGTCCGACCATGTAGCTTCCCCCTTGTTCGACCATGTAGCCTCCCCCTTGTTCGACCATGTAGCCTCCCCCTTGTCCGACCATGTAGCCTCCCCCTTGTCCGACTTTCATGTAGGCCTCCCCACTTGGTCCAACCATTAGCCTCCCCGCGTTGTCCGACCATGTAGGCCTCCCCCTTGTCGGACCATGTAGCGCTCCCCCTTGTCCGACCATGTAGCCTCCCCCTTGTCCGACCATGTAGCCCTCGCCCCTTGTCCGACCATGTAGGCCTCCGCCCTTGTCCGACCATTGCTAGCCTCCCCCTTGTCCGACCATGTAGCTTGCCACCCTTGTCCGACCAATGGTTAGCCTCCCCCTGTTCAACCATGCTAAGCCTCCCCCGTTGTCCGACCATGATAGCCTCCCCCTTTGTTCCCGACCATTGTAGCCCCCCCTTGTCGCGTCCTGGTAGCCCTCCCCTTGTCGCGACATGTAGCCTCCCCCGTTGTCCGACCATGCTAGCCTCCCCTTTGTCGACCATGATAGCTTCCCTCGTGTCGACCATGTAGCCTCCCGCCATTGTTCCAGACCATGTAGCCTCCCCCTTGCTCCGGCATGTAGCCTCCCCCTTGGTCGCCATGTGAGCCGCCCCCTTGTCGACATGTAGCCTCCCCTTGTCCGACCACTGTAGGCCTCCCACCTTGTCAGACCATGTAGCCTCCCCCTTGTCCGACCATGATAGCTTCCCCCTTGTTCGACATGTAAGCCTCCCCTGGTTCGACCATGTTAGCCTCCCCTTGTCCGACCAATGTAAGACCTCCCCCTTGTCCGACGTGTTGGAACCTCCCCCGTTGTCCGACCATGTAGCCTCCCCTTGTACCGTCCATGTAGCTTCCCCCTTGTTCGACCATGCTAGCCTCCCCCTTGTTCGACCACTGTAGCCTCCCCCTTGTCCAACCAATGTAGGCCTCCCCCTTGGTCCGACCATGTAGCCTCCCCCTTGTCCGACCATGTAGGCCTCCCCCTTGTCTCGACCATTGTAGCCTCGCCCCTTGTTCGACTTGTGTAAACCTCCCCCTTGTCCGTCCATGTTAGCCTCCCCCTTGCTCCGACCATGTAGCCTCCCCTTGTCAGACCATGTTAGCCTCCCCTTGTCCGCGACCATGTGCCTCCCCCTTTGTCAGGACCATGTAGCCTCCCCTTGTGGCCGACCCATGATAGCCTCCCCTTGTCGACTTTGTAAACCTCCCCCTTGTCCGTCCATGTAGCCTCCCCCTTGTCCAACCATGTTAGGCCTCCCCCTTGTCGACGATGTAGCCTTCCCCCTTGTCCGACCATGTAGCCGTCCCCTTGTCCGACCATGCTAGCTTCCCCTTGTCCGACCATGTAAGCCTTCCCCCTGTCGACCATGTAGCCTCCCCTTGATCACCATGTGGGCCTCCCCCTTGTCCGACCATGTAAGCCTCCCCCTGGTCCGACATTTAGCCTCCCCTTGTCCGACCATGTAAGCCTCCCCCTTGTCCAACCATGGAGCCTCCCCCTTGTCCGGACCATTAGTAGCCGTCCCCCTTTGTCTTGACCATGTAGCCTCCCCCTTGTTCCGACCTGTAGCCTCCCCCTGTCGACCTGTAGCTTCCCCCTTGTTCCGGACATGGTAAGCTTCCCCTTGGGTCCGACCATGATAGCTCCCTTGTCGACCATGTAGCTCCCCTTGTCGACCATGTAGCTCCCCCTTGGTCCGGACCATCTGTAGCCTCCCCCTTTAGCTCCGACCATGTAGCCTCACCTTGTCCGACCATTGTAGCCTCCCCCTTAGTCCGACCATGTAGCCCTCCCCCTTGTACCGACCATGTAGCCCCCCTATGTCCAGACCATGAGCCTCCCCTTGTCCGACCATGTAGCCTCCCCCTTGTGCGACCAATGTAGCCTCTCCCTTGTCCGACCATGTAGCCTCCCCTTGTCGACCATAGTAGCCTACCCCCTTGTCCGACCATGTAACCTCCCCCTTGTCCGACCATGTAGCCTCCCCCTTCGTTCGGACCATGCTAGCTCCCCTTGTTCGACCATGTAGCTCCCCTTGTCGACCAGTAGCTCCCCCTTGTCCGACCATGTAGCCTCCCCTTGGGTTCGACCATGTAGCCTCCCCCTCTGTCCGGACCATGCTGCCTCCCCCTTGCTTCGACCTGTAACCCCCCCCCCCCTTCATCCTGCCTCCTATTACCATCTTTCATCATACTGGTGCCTTGCTGTAGCCTTCCTGCCTGCCTCTTTCCTGCTTGCCTCCCTGCCTCCCTGCCTCCTTCTCTGCCTGCCTGCCTGCCTCCCTGCCTGTCTGCCTTCATACCTGCCTGCCTGTATGCACGTATGGCCGCCTGCCTTTCTGTTACACAACAGCTACTGCTACGTCGCTACGGCTCCTCAACCATAGCCGCTTTATCTTTTATTTTCACTTTACTAACACTTTCCCCACATAATTTATGATTTTATTAATTATAATACCAAATTATTTTTAACACTGTGATATCTCCTGTTAGCTTCCTTTTCTTTCTTTTACGCTTCTCCGTCTCCAATTCCTTGATTTCCTTCTTTCTCTTTTTTACTTCTCTCATAGCATCTATACTCAACAGAGTCTCCCCTTCACTCTCGCGATGTTAAATTATGGAGGTGGGGGCTGCTATTTCTATCAGGCTATATAATTCCAAACATAAATACATAAACACAATGTAATATACAACATATAAACAGCAATTTCCAATGCATTTCCCCCTTCCCTCTGGATTGACAACACCTTCCCTCATCTAATCACCTGGGGCCGTGTAGCAACCAAGCCAATAACCCGCTCAACTTCCTAACCACATCTTATCTCGGTGCTTGCCGGAGTAATGCGGGAGGATGCTGGAGGGATGCGGGAGGATGCTGGAGGGATGCGGGGAGTGAAGCCACATGTGAAGAATAAGCCATATCGCCGCCGCCTCGCAGTAGCTTCCGGTCAGAGATATGGCACCGGCTATTTATTTTCGCGGCCATCGTTATCAGATGCTGGACATCTCATTTTCTCTCTATCTCTCTCTCTCTCGCTCTCCTTCATTTCTCTCTCTTCTTATCTCTCCTCCTCCTCTC